CAACTGTTGTAAAATTCTTCAATACGATTGGTTCTTGCTTTTGGTTCCTGACAGATCTAAATGTATAAACCAATCATATTGAAGAATTTTACAACAGTTGCAAAGCTGCTTTCTCTGCTGAACGCAGCCAATTTTAAATTTCAATTTAGGGAAATCTGGGGAAATTTAAAATTTAATCTAGGGTGAAAATGTAGCAGTGGATTGGCAACGCTGTTATATGTCGACTTTGTAGAGAGATAGTCTATTTCGGTCTACTTTGTAAGAATAATAAATATTTATAATGGACATAATAATTGATACAAAAGGTGATTCTGGCCTGATAAATAAGGATGAATTACTGGACAGTGATAACGACGATCACGAAATTAAAACTATCGGTAATTATATCCACATTCATTTTTCATCTTTTTGTGAGGTTAATATTTTATAGAGCATATTGTTCGGTTTATTAAGTTTATCATTGATTATTAAGAGAAATTGAGTTTACAATTCGCTAATCTTTGTAAAGATTATGGCCTTGTTTCTTACACTCAAAATATATATCTCTGTAGTCTGTATTTTATTTCTTTGTAGTGAAGCAATTAGAGAGAATGGAACATTTCATTCTTGAGCTAAGACTTTATGTGCATATTCATAGTCAGGCCTTATATTTATAAGGCTTCCTTAAATTTATCTTCAGATGCTTAAGAATTATTTTATTAGCTACTGAGCATCTAAAGATAAATTTAAAGAAACCTTAAATATAAGACCTGACTATGAATAAAGACATTAGACTAATACAGGTGTAGTTTACATCATGCACTTGGTACTAATTAGTAACTCTATTGAATTATTTTAATTTTGACGATATGTGTAAACATATATATGATATGAATAATTATTTTGATGCATATTACATTGATTTAATACATCATTCTTTAAACATATGCTGAAATTAAGACATTTTAATAGAAAGTTACTAGTTATGTTTGATTTATGCTTCGGTCTTAACCCTAAAATCCTAAAATTCGGTCAATAGGGCTGCCAGTCTTAATTGGTCCTAACTGAAATCTGTATTCCATTGACTGAATTTTAGGATTTTAGGGTTAAGATCGAAGCATAACCAGGCATTAGTATGCATATCAAATACTTGGTGTAAAAGAGATCTTAGTATCATTTGCTAAGTAATTAATCCATTAAGATAAATTATGGTTAAAGAATATTCATATCTTCTTTTATTAGATGTTGGTCCAACAAGGATATATGATGCAAAATATTTAGGCATTGAGAAAAAAGAACAACCAAAGAGAAAAAAATTCTCTTCCAGCAAAGACTTCGATCTTGAAAAGTTTGAAACCGATATGGGTTGGAAATCTAAGAAAGTGACCTTTGATCCAACGGAAGAAATAGCAGATATAAGAAAAGATATCAATCCAGTGGACAAGATTTTAGAGAAGAGTGTTATTAAATCTGATTTTGAACGGTTGCATGTTGTACCACCCTACAAGTTGAGCAAACGTCAATTGGAAATACGTAAACAACGTGAGAAACGAAAGATGGGAACAGGTGCAGAATGGTTTAACATGCATGCACCTGAAATAACGCCAGAGATTAGACACGACCTCGAAGTACTAAGAATGAGATCTGCGTTAAATCCAAAACACTTTTACAAAAAGAATGATATGAAAGCATTGCCGGCACACTTCCATGTCGGCAAAGTTATTGATTCTCCAATGGATTTCTACTCTTCGCGTCTTACAAAGAAGGAGCGCAAGAAGACGATCATTGATGAACTTATGGCAGATGCAGAGTTTACAAAATACAACAAGCGTAAATACAAGGAAATTATCGAAGAAAAGCAGAAGACACACTATAAAGCACACAAACATGCGAGAAGACTTAAAAAAAAAAAGAAGTAATATATTTATTATAAAAAGTATATTTTGTGTGTTTGAAAAATAAAGAATTACTAAAAGTTATATATTCTCTATATTAATAACGAGGAAAAGCAGCTGAGAGCACCATTGTAGTTGTTGATAGCATATGAAAGTGTTTTAGGGTATATTTATTCCATGAAACTATTACAATTTTTCTTGTTCTCAATATTCTCAATCAAACATTTCGGTCTTATTTTAGACTATCTTCAGCGAATTAACAAATTAGATATAATTACCAAAGAACTCTTGATGAACCATATGGTGATTACATACTTCAACATTGATGTCCCTTTTTGACAGTTATAATGTTACAGAGCATTTGTAGCTTATAGCACTAACATAATTGGTCCATTTGACGTTTTGGAGCGCTCCCAGCAACTCTTACATTATGAGTATGTCATCGTTTTTACTCTCAATTCGCTCCAACTGCCTCACCTCGGGAGGTGGGTTAACTGGAGCGTTCACGTAGCAATTGTAGCATTTGGAACAGTAATGAACTAATCTAAGCATAGCGTTTGGAGCGTAGCATTCACAGTATTTGCAAGAAGCAAGTGGATAGCAGCCAAGATCTAATATCAAAATAATATCTCAATCAAAAATATCTATTAGAATAAACAAATAATTCTTATCCAGCTAATTCAAGTTACTTTGGTTGATATGAATTTAGAAACAGATAAACTTAATTGGCTATAATTTGATCGTTATTGTTCATTTTGTGTGCTAGCTTTGAATAGATTTAACTTGAACGATGTGGTACCATCATCATAATTATAAGCGATCTTGTAAGGCCTTACAAAACTTGATAGACAAACAACCACAAGCGAATAGAAAAGGAATTTAGATGAACAACAAACTAGAATAAAATAGCCCCATTGAAAAAAATCACGTCACAAAGTTATATAACGAAATCATGTAATTAAAATAAGTAAATCATATATCGGATTGTTCCAAATCAGTACGTGAATTTTTTAAATCACGTAATTTGAAAAAGATCTCACGATATTAGAAATAATTTTATCTATCATATGATTTTATTGTTATCGAATTTTAAATAATTAAATGATAGAAATAGAAGAAATAAACAAATGATCGTTTTTCAAATTATGCGATTTTAAAAAAATCACGTACTGATTTGGAACAATTCGTTACCTGATTTACATATTTTAATTACATGATTTCGTTATGTGACTTTGTGACGTGATTTCTTTTAGTAAGGGGATATAAGACGCTATATGGATAAGTTCTTTACTTAAATTATAAATTGGTTGTCAAGGTAAATGATATCTTATATTACATTTATATATTATCAATTCATTGAAATCTATTTATGAGATTATTGTATTCGCGATATTTTTCTTCTTTATTAAAGCTTATCGTAAATAAAGATTTTGTTCTTTTGTATTTTACGTGTATTTTGTTGATTATTGCTAGAAGATTACAGATAATTAAAACTTATATTCTCGTACATAATTCGAGTGTGAATTATAAGATACATATTTAAATTTTATCAATATCGTTATAACTTGTACTGTCACCAATCACAATTAAGATTGCGATCTCACTTTTTAAAACATTCGACTATGGGTGCATTCAGTACTACGACCGCTCACTGAGCGCTCAGTGAACTCTTGTCTCTGTTTGGTCTATATTTTTAGTTCTAACGGAATATGCCAATAAGATGCAAGCGCTCACTGAGCGCTCAAGCCTTGTGTCCACGATGCTAGAAATTGGTCCGAGATCTCGGAGAGAGAAAGAATTAACCAATCACATTTAAACAATTTAGTCACATGATCAATACGATTGGTCAATTCTTTCTTCATCCGAGATCTCGGACGGATTTCTAGCATCGTGGACACTGGGCTTTAGTGAGCGCTTGTCTCTGTTTGGTCTATATTTTTAGTTCTAACGGAATATGCCAATAAGATGCAAGCGCTCACTGAGCGCGCACTGAGCGCTTGCATCCTATTGGCATATTCCGTTAGAACTAAAAATATAGACCAAACGGATTCAAGAGTTCACTGAGTGCTCAGTGAGCGGTCGCGGTACTGAATGCACCCTATGATTGGCCGATTTGCTTAGGCCGGAATCAGACTACGCATTGAATATTGAGATGGAAGATTAAAAGATTGAAATTTGACCAATCAAAACAATAGGAGCTAAAATTTCTTTGTCGTCACTGGTCAAATTTTAATCTTCAATCTTCAATCTCAATCTTCAATGCGTAGTCTGATTCCGGCTCTTCAGCCTTATGCCCGTGTCACACTACGCATTGGAGACTGAGGATTGCGAATTGAGGATTAGAATTCAGCTAATTAGAACGAAATGGATTAAACTTAAAATTACTTGATTGGTCGAATTCTAATCCTTAATTCGCAATCCTCAATCTTCAATGCGTAGTGTGACACGGGCATTAGGCCGGAATCAGACTACGCATTGAAGATTGAGATCGAAGATTGAAGATTGAAATTTGACCAATGAGGGCAAAGGAATTTTAGCTCCTATTGTTTTGATTGGTCAAATTTCAATCTTTCAATCTTCAATCTCAATCTTTAATGCCTAGTCTGATTCCGGCCTTATAATTACTAATGGCGCATGCTCACATCCACTCATACTGCTCAAGTGCTTACATCGTAGGGTAGCGTGTCTGTGACAGATTTTCTAACCTGAATATAGTCGTCTACTTTAACGATTCATAATATTCATATCTCGGTTTGCGTAGCAGAGTGACGCATATTTCTGCTAGATTCTTTTGTTTCATGTGTCAAATAAGCCTAATTTCATTGTTTTTTGTGCGGGGGATAGTCCGAACAATTACCGTACATATTAAAATTTATAGTGACAGGATTATCAGGGGTTATTCTAAATAAATACCAATTGCGATTGTTGCCGATTTTTGTCTCAAAATTGGACTAGTCCATAGTCGGAACAAGTCAAGTTTCATAAAATCAACAAGGCAAATATGGATACACAAACAGTAAATACTCGAAGAAAAATATTGAGTCAAGTAATTTCTAGCATTTTAGTAGAATGTGGTTATGATACATGTGAGAAACAAGTATTGGAAACACTCACCGAAATGTTACAGTCATGTAAGGCTCAAATTTAGACTTACAAGCAGTTAATTTAATATATCATAAATTCTCTTTAATTTTTTAAAATTTATCGTTCTTTTATATCTATCATAAATTTATTATTATAATATTTACATTGTCATGTACAATTTAGTAATAATATCTTAAGCTCTTAACTATATTAATTCTTTATCTTTAACGTTAATTTTTGTGTTTACAATAAAATAACAAGTAACAAAAATAATGATTTTGATAAAATTATATCAGATTGTTTTTTTTCTTTTTCATGAATGAGTACAGTTATTGTGGAAATTGGCGCTTCGGGAAGAAATTATTGTGAACTTTCTGGGAGAACAGAACCTCTTATAGCAGATGTGATATTGGCATTAATTAATATGGGCATAAAATTAGATAATATAGAAACTTACGCAAAACGACAAAATAAGACAGTCCTGCCGACACTTCAACAGCAGACGCAAGCAAAACAATTGAATATCTTGCAAGCTGGTGTTAAGCAAAGCCATCCATCGCATATACCAAATTATTTACCATCTTTTCCTGATCCACACGCGTATATCAGAACTCCGGTAAATATTTATTAATTATAATTATGTACTACAATACATATATGTACATACATATGAACACAAGCATTTTACATATGTAATAAAAATTTTGCATAATGTATATGAAACTAATTCAATAATGGAAATATATTGTAGACACATAAGCAACCAGTAACTGAATATGAAGCAATCAGAGAAAAGGTAGCAACGCAAAAACGAGATATCGAGAGAGCTTTAACAAGGTTTATTGCCAAAACAGGAGAGACACATAGTTTATTTCTCACAGAAGATAATAGCATGTTTCCTTGTAAGAGAATTATCATTTATATTGATTCATTCAGCATTTCAATGAAGCAAAAATCTTATATGTATCTATTTTGCTTTTAGTAATATCGTGCAAACCACAATTTCCGAGTTATATCTCTGCTCTTTTACCTCAAGATCAAATATTCGAACCAGATCCAGATTTTCAGTTTGATTCAAGTCCTGTGAAAAAGAAGAAAGAGCAACAGAACGAAAATACAGAAGAAGGTAAGCCTTTTTTACAACGAAATATTTAAATGATACATATTTAAATGATATAATTTTCATTTAAAAACTTGATATAACTCTTTGCCTGCAGGTAACCAAACACGAAACGAAAATATGGAGCAAAATGGTGAAACTATTACTCAGCAAGATATTATAGATAATCCGTATTTAAGACCTGGAAAAATTCCTAAAAATAAAATGTCAAGTACAACAATACCTGGACAACATTCTCTTAAAAAAGAGTTACTTGAATGTTAAGTATCATGATGTAATATTAATTAATAATATTACTTATTAGTTATAATATAAATTATAACTAATAAGTAATATTAATTACTGTATAAAATGAGATTTGAAAGTTCACAATGCTAGTGTCTTTACGAATTGTAACTCGAACTCGTCTTATGTATAGCTTTATATTTTATATTTGATCCGTTTTTATACATGAATCATTAAGTTAGACGATAAAAATTATATATTTTTATTCTGTACTTACATGAAAGTATTTCGAAATACATTCATCACTGAAAATATATATTATAACATTCCGTGTCGATTTTTAAAATTGATTCACATCATGTATACGCGCATGTTACATACTCACACAATAGCATGTACTAGGAAATTATCGTCATATTAAAACTTTCCATCATATAGCAATATTAATTAAAGCATGTAGCACATATTAACATTATTTGAAAAATAGTTTGGAAACGTAATAAAAAGAATGTGATTTAAATTATTATTGCCATAGAATTTACAAATAGATTTCCTTATTATACAAGATGACCCATTTAAACTGAAAATTTTAAATATTTCATTAATTTTTAATAATATGAAAAAGTTTTTCAAATGAAAGTGAAATGGTTTCGAGGAGGGCGTTATATATATGTATATATTTTATAATTAATTTGTATAGCTATATATACATATGGCTATTTAATAAATATGTAGCAATTACATGATTATATTTATTTTATAAAAACATTTGATAATATTGTATACAAAAAAGTTAAGAATGTTATAAATATGTGTAGCTTTTATAAATATGTTTAATTTTATCGAAAAAATGTTCATTAAACTTATTTTTGGACAGTACTATTTTAATACAATTAAAAAAAGAAATTAACGAAAAAGTGTATATGTGTTTTACAATTTTATACATATACAGAGTGTTTCCTTTAACTCGAGCATTTAAAATATCTATTGTTTTTAATGGTACAATAAAATATTAAAAATTGTACGTTAAAATATTTTCTAAATTATTGATTTTTTCGTAACTCTACTTGAATATGCAAAGTAGTTAGAGGAATTACATTACATAAAAAATTATGTAATTCCATTTTTTAAAATGGTGAAAACTTTGATATATCAAACAATATGACATAAAAAAAATTTGTTGCTTATAATATTTACCCTTTTAAAACAAATAACTTTCCCCTTTTATGTTTTGTAATATCATTAATATATAACATCAGAGATATTTTAAATGATCAAGTTAAAAGAAATACCCTGTATACTTATGTATTATTATACCTAGAGGAAAGCCACCTATTATGAGATAGGTGCCTAATGAGATAGCGGCGTTTCTGCTAAACTAATAAACGCTATCTATTGGTTCCACCATGAATTTATTGCTCTTGGATTGAAAACTATTTGGTGGGAAATTCATTATTAGATCATACCTGTAGTTGTAAAAAAAGATTTTGGACGTCAAGTTTCATCTCACATTGAGATGAGCTTTTATAAATCTTGTTTATTATTTAATAACTAAATATTTGGCAATAAATTCTTCATGTAGTGATAGAATAAGATCGTACTAATAGAAAAATATGGGATATGTAGAATTGCTTAATTACAGAAGTTAGATTTGATGATCGTAAAACCTTAAGCCATGGAAATTGTAATATGAGATACCCCAAGATATTTCTAATATGAAATAACTCAGGCTCCTATCATAATAAAAAGTCATTGCGAAAGTATAAATGTTATTATATAATAATAAAAAGGACAACTGGAATGAATATCGAGTGCCTGTTTCTGCGATGCTTGATTCCAACTACCTGAAGATGAGTCTTGGGTACAATGCATCGCATGTTTATTTTGCACGCACACTTGCTGTGTCTGTTTGTATTTTAGAAACATTAAATAAAGTTTTTAAATTATAATACTGATGTAATTTGTGCGTTTTATTATCGATTTCTCGGGGCATCAAATTAAGAGCACAATTTTTTGACTTTGTAATTTCTGACTTTACATTTCTTTAATTTAAAAAAAAAAATAGAATTTGAATTAAATTTTACATAATATTATCTTAAAGTTTATTGAATTCCCTTCAAAATGACTTATTATTTTTTTAAATTTTGTCCATAGACTTCTAGCATTTACCCAAAATGAACTCGGTATCTCATAATAGGGGCCTTTCCTATATACATAAAATTATTTTTAAATAAAAGTATTAGAGAGGTATTAGCCTTTTTAAATAAAATGTGTTAAACTAAACATTTTCCATCTAATTAACTAGGAGATCAAAGATTAAAATTTAATTTATATATATATATATTGCGTTTATATTTATGATTATAAAATTGAAAACTTTGTTACATGTTAAGTTGTACAATTATATGTCATAAAAAATATGAACGTTATAAAAATTATAAATAATAAAAAGTGAACATTGATTATTGTTACTTATTTATTTATAAAGGCCTGTACGTTTTAGAATTTGCGTATTATGTGACTATACATATTATTTCTTTTTAAAACATTTTCATTAAAAAATCTGATCTTATATATATTGAACGAGCAAAAACAAACTAACAGAACAAATAAATTAATTTCAAAATCTGTTAAACATAATATATAGCACATAATTAGTACTTACAACATAGAGACATACACACACACACACACATACGTATACATATGAGTATGTTGTGTGTATAAACACTAAGCAAAATCTTGCATGCTCTTTTCTTGAAAGATTTTATTTTTTTTATATTATTTAATATTGATACCATGGCTGACGACGTACCCAGCGCAATTTCATACCGGAAGCTGTACGAATTTTTATGCTAGCACATTCCGCTGCACGTACTGTCTCTTTCACGCTTTGCATGAGATTCTGAGCATTTCCGACAAGCATGTCCGTTGCTTCTTGATCTTCTTCCGTACCTGTGTTAACATTATAAAAGCAACTATCAGATTAAATTGAAAAAATAACTTTCTTAATACATCCATGTTCACATATATTTTTCTCATAAAATTGTTGTTATTGTTACATGATTATAAAATTATATTTGTAATATAAAGCCCTAAACACAATGCGAGGCAACAGCGATAGCGATAGAGACAGAGGGATCCAACATTTGGGAATGCATATGTCAATGTACATAGGAACACAGAATAAGGCAATAGCGATAAATTATTTCCGACGAATTGAAATTGTATGTCTAATATCGACTTACAGTCTACCAATCAACGTTCAGATTTTTCATTTTATTTATATACGCTATAATCTTGAAGCAGAAGAGTATACTACGCGATTAGATTGGCTGGCCTTTTTATTTCTTTCGCGGTATTGTGCAACGGAAGGCAACAATTATGTATCGCTTATTTCTTCTATTCTTATCTCTATTATTCTTATTTCTACTATTTTTATCGCTGTTCTTGTCGCTGCTGCCTCGCACTGTGTCTAAGGCTTAAGAATGATATTTTATCTAACGTTAAATGACAATAATCATATCAAATGGAATGGATAAAAGGATAAATATGCACAATATAAATATATAATGTCATTCTAAACTATATAACGATAAATATTTTTTGTAAAGTTAAAAGGAATTTTCTTCACAAATGTAAAATTTTTTGTGAAGTGTGTATGTGTATATGTGTGCGCGCGCGCGTGCATGCGTGCGTGCTTTACATGCAGGATATGTATGATAATCTCCCATATCCGATTTTTTCCCACAAGAACCATAAGCCCCCTTTTAAAACATTGTATACATGTCTTTTTATAATTAATTTTGTTGATTACTGAAAAAAAACCGCGGTTTTTGGTAGACTATCACTTCTGAACATTTACCGTGCTTTTATATGCAGAACAATTAGAGGGACCTAATATGTAAAGAAAGTCATATAAATCCATTTTAAAAGTGGAGATGACTTTCATATCTTTTTGGCGTCTCCACTTACGAAAAAACAAAGTGGCCAAAAATACGTTCCCCTCAAAATTGTTCTACTTATATATGAAACGATTTTCTGTATCATCTATATTTTTCGATCTATATTGACGTCTATTAAGTTGGACTCCCCACCATCGAAAATCAAGTTCGAAATAAATAAAAAATTTAGTGTTCTTTAGATGCTAATTTAGTAACAAAATTCTTAATAGAGTACTAAATTAGTACCAAAATTTTTGACCTATTTCGAACTTGATTTTCGATGGTGGGGGATCCAGTTTAATAGACATTCTATATTGGCTTATCACACTTTACGTTAGACATCCTATATATATATACAGGGTGTTTCCAAATTAAATGGCAAAACTTCGGGAGCGTGTAGAGGAGTAAAAAACTAAGAAAAAAAGTCCTATAGACATATGCTCCTTTTTGCTTTGTTTCGCAGGAAATCACGAAAAAAGAAAAAAATATATTTAATTTATTATTTTAATTATTTTATTTATAAACTTTTTAATGAAGATTTTGTTCGAAATGTGCACCTCTTGCAGCAATACAAGCATTGCATCTGTCAAACACGGCTCTTGTAGCAGCCAGGCACTGTTCTTGCGATATTCTGTTCGCTGCAGCTACGATACGATTTCTCAAATGTTGCTCTGATTGAATAGGCGAAGAATAAACTTCTTGCTTCAGAGTACCCCATGCATAGAAATCTAATGGCGTTAAGTCGGGCGAACGAGTTGCCCAATGTACTGCTCCTCCACGTCCAATCCATCGTTGTGGGAATTTTCTATCTAACCAGGTTCTAGCGACTCTGCTGTAATGAGCAGGGCATCCATCTAATTGAAACCACATTTCAGTACGTTGTTGTAATGGGATGTTTTCTAAATAGTCAGAAAATTCATTCTCCAAGAAATTTAGAAAACGGTCCCCATAGCCGAATTATCGCTTAAAGTTCGCGCGTTCAGATATAGTACAACTGGAAAAATGCCAACTTGGAAAAATGCCAACCATATCTACGTTGGAAGTCTGTAATTCTTAACGATAGTGTATTATTATGTCATTGTTGCACAGCTTTTTTTACTACATATAATATTTGTGCAACGATAATAAATGATATTGTCGTTGAGAGTTATAGAATCCCAGTGTTAAACACGCAAACCTTAGGCGATAAGATTCGCTAACTTTAAATGCTTTTAATTCAAAAATTGTTATAGCCTCAACATTTTGGTATTATCATTTTTGTCTTAAAATAATTTTAGGAATTTATCGTTAAGCATTGTTAGGATTTTTACCAGACACCTATATATAGTGACTGGCAAAAATAAAAAGCCACCTCCTCAGTTATCCTGTTTCGTTTTATAAAATAATGAAAATATTAAAACAATGCTGCTTTTATTGATGAAATAGGAAGCATTTATAATTTATTTCGAGGTTTTATTTAAAAAGTCACATAAATTATTCTTTATCTTTCAAGTATATCTATATTTCTTAAATATTGCTATTTCTTAAATTAACAAAATAAAAAAGCCACTAACGTCTGTCTCGTATAATACGTATAATATGTACAGTACTTTGTGATTATATCGTTTGTCTTGAAGTTTGTCATATTCGCGTTATTACGCTCAGTTCACGTTATTGCATTCATTTGTTTCCGACATCAGCTTGTTTCGGTTATTATACTATGACTGTGTTCCAAAATTGACTGCCAGTACTGAAAATCTATAGTGCACGTAACGTAAACTGTAGCATTTTCTGTGCTGGCAGTAAATTTGGAACACAGCTTATATATCCGAAAAATGAGAGAAAAATCAATTTCGATACAGGTCTGAAACCTAATTGTGTGGGACATTAAAAAAGGTCTTTCTCATTGCTAAAAACTACGAAGTAGAGGAACAGTAGAACAAATCAGTAGGAAGTTCCAGTCGACTGGATCGGTGGCAGATACAAGCGGAAGAGGCCGAAAACGAACAACGTTCAAACGGGAGGATACGAAAATAGTCCGAGAAGATAAGAAGAATTCAAAGATTACTATCAGAAAAATTCAGAAAAACATGAATTTTCATGTTTCTGACCGCATGGTACGTCGCAGACTTCGTGAAGCAAATTTACACGGCCGGTTCGCACGTAAACGACCTTTCATCAGCGCTATTAATAAGAAAAAAACGTTTGCAATTTGCTCGAAAGTACGCAAATATGTCATTAGACTTCTGGAAAAAGGTTCTTAGACAGATGAAAGTAAATTCGAGTTATTTGGGCAAAAGAAGCAGATTAGAGTCTGCAGAAAACATGGAGAAGAGCTTCAAGATCGACATATTCAGAAAACTGTAGAACATGGTGGAGAAAATATTATGGTCCGAGGGTGTTTCTCATGGGCAAGAGTAGGAAATCTCGTCAAAATTGATGGGATTATGACGGCAGATGTTTATATTGACGTAATTAATGAAAATTTAGAAGAGTCTTTGCTGAAGATCGGATTAGAAAATAATTTTATTTTTCAACAAGATAATGACCCGAAACACACAGCAAAGAAAAGTCAAGCTTTTTTTCATTCCTGTCGCATCAAATAGCTCGAATGACCTCCGCAGTCTCCAGATTTAAACCTTATCACCCTATTGAAAATCTGTGAGCAATTCTGAATAATAGGATTGACAAATGCGGAATAACTAATAAGAACTCCTATTTTGAAGCATTATAACTGGCATAGGAGAATCTGGATTCACAACATTTGAAAAATTTAATTGAAAGTATACCAAGGAGACTTCAAAAAGTTATTGAGGCTAAAGGAAGTTATATTAATTATTAATTAGAATTATATTGCTGTTTTCTAAAATTAAAATACTATATTACGTTAACTGGCTTTTTTATTTTATCACACTTAAATATGTAATCTTTTAGAAATCAACATAGTATTATACATTACATAAAACATTGATTCTTTTTTTAATTAAAAATGTTTAATTAATGAAAACATTTTCAATTTTAGTACAAAAAAATCTATAATATAAATATTTTTTTATACTTTATGAAGCAAACTAGTTTTATAAATAAGATGGCTTTTTATTTTTGCTGGTCACTGTATATCCGACATTGGATAATATTGTATTTCACTTTCTTGTATTCCTCTCAAGGAAAAAGTAGAGGGTGCATGCTGTGCTTTAAATGCTGTATGTATTGCATAACAATATCAAGTTTTTAAACAAAAAGAAAAAAACAACATCAAAAGAAAAAAAATAAAGGTAACATCAAGCAAGTTTACAACTTGTTTACCATAAAGCATCAGCTCTTCCCAGGTTGGAAGTGTCTCTATATATAAACAATTTAAGTTTTTCGTTAATGATGCAATGATTTCTATTTTCATTAATCAATGTTTAACTTAATAGTTAATTAGACAGGACATCATGATTTGTTATATGAAATATAATCGATATATAAATATTATATGCAAAAGAGAATGTAATTTGTACCTTGTGCTCCAAGCATAGTGGCTTTTACTGTAGACAATATTTTCAATTGTGTTCCAATAGTAGGTATACGTTCACAAACTTGAAGAAGATTCTAAAAAATTATTACAATAAAATTACACAGAAATGACATGCATATATTGTAATAAATAATATTTTAATAAAATTGATATAATCGGCAATAATGTACGAACCGTTCGAATACGTTTATCGGTACATTCCCTGGCTAGTTCCTTTGCGAGACGTGTAACTTCCTGAGAAGCTTCTGCGATAGCTTTGGCACATGCGATAAGATCTCGTTTATTACCACCTTCACCTCTAACTAGTCCCGATAATCTCCCCATTAAAATAGCCATCTTCTTTGCTGCGGCAATAATTTCGTTGTCTTTGCTGGACCATTGCCGTACTTCTTGATGTAAACCATGAGCGGCCATCTATACAATGGATTTCATAATGTAATTTCTGTTCATGTATACGATTTTTGTTCTGGACGCACGCATGTGATTTTACGATAACAATGAAAATAAGAACAATCGTTAATGGTCTTGATCTTGAAAAATGTTATCATTGTTATCAAGGTCGTGATCCTGAACAACATTCAAGATATTATATACAGGGTGAGTCATTTTAATCTATGGACCCGAATATCTTCCAAATTACGGTATCTACAAAAAAATGGTTTAGATAAAAGTTGACCAGGACAGAGGGGGTCATTTAATTGTACCATTAGTTTTGACCTTGAGGTCAATTTTGAAGGTCATTTCAAGGTCACGATGGTTTTTTTAAATGGGACACCCTATTTTTGACTGCGGATTTCGAAAGAGCAGAAAATTTTACATCAAACTTGTCTTATGAAAAAATTGTTTTTGCGACCTTGGAAAGGTCAAAAATAAAGGTCAAATGCCTGAAAAACGATCTGGTGTACTTTTTCTGAAATGACGTGGTTTTCTGGGTAACACAAATGTGCATAATGCTTGAAACAAGTCAATGAATTGTAAAAGTGTAAATCACTTTTACACAGAAAAAGTACACCAGATCGTTTTTCAGGCATTTGACCTT